CCCCCCCGCAGCCACCCCCCCCCAAACATTCCCTGCCCCCCCCAGGCACCACCGTGCACTCGGGGGGCTGCTCGTCCCGCCTCTCTCCCTCTCTGATTGGCTGCTCCTCTCCGATGCGACCAATCGCCTTCTCTGCTTCCTTCAGCTCAGTGAGAGTGACGCCCTGGGGAGGGAGGATCATAGGGGGGGGAGCGGGGAGGGGGGTGTCACATCGGGCCTGTCACCCCCCCCCCCAAGACCGACCCTCCCACAGCCCCCCCCTCCCCCAGACCTGCGTTGACCTCCTGGACTGCCGCATCATTCGGGATCTTGCTTTGCGCTGTGACTCGGATTCCTCGTCCCGCACGGGGGGTTGGTATGTCCTGAAATGAAGGGGAGGGGGGGCACAGTGAGACCCTCCTCTCCATGCGTTCCGCCCCCCTCCCCAAAATCTACTCCCCCCACCCCAATCCCCACCCGAAGGTTGAGGCTGTACCTGCGGGGCCGGGGCTCTGCATCCACTTTCACCTGGGGGCCTCCATCGATGGGGCTGTGTGTGTGTTGGGGGGGGGGGTTAGGACCCCAAATCCACCCCTCATATTCCCCCCCCCCCAAACAGACCCAGACTCACTTAGATGGGACGGCGTCAGAGGGAGTCCGGTGTGAGGGGGTGGGGGGGACACGGGCCAAGCGTGGCTCTTTACTCTGGGGGAGGAGCAACGAGCATTGGGGGGAGTCCCCATATTTGTGGGGTCCTTCCCTACTGCCCCCCCTCCCCCCAATTTTTTTGGGAAAAACGCTTTATTTGTGAAAGAAAATTCCAAATAAATGCCCCCATATGAGCCAGGTGGTGAGGAAAGGGTTAAATTAGGCCCCGCCCCCCCGGGAGCAGGGGGCGGAGCCACTACCCAGCCCACATGCCATGCTCCCTCCTTCCCGATTGGTTAGCTCCAAAGGTGTGCTCTGATTGGTCAGGCCTGGGCCAATTGGGTTGCGGTTCTTCATGCTGCTGGGAGAAAGGAGGCGGGGCCAGAGAGGGGAGGAGGAGCACGGATTGGGTGAAGGGGCGGAGTCACTCTGGGGGCGGAGCCAATGAAGTTGGGGGGCGGAGCCTGGTGGGAGATGGGTGGAGCTATGGGGGCGGGGCCAACAGAGGGGACACGGCCACAGCACAGCCAATCGGGAGAGGGGGGCGGGGCCTGGTGGGGCCTTACCTGGGGGGCGGAGTCTAGGCGGGGGGAGGAGGCGGAGCGACGGACAGCAAAATCTGGGGGAGGGGTGGGGGGGGGCAGCGCCCCCAAACTGCCGGTGCGGCACAGCCCGGTGCTGGGACCCTGGGGGAGGGGAAAGGCTGCGGTGGGGGGCGGAAGCGACTTCCCGGATACCCCAAAATGGGGCTGAGACCCCCCCTGCAAGACCCCCACATTGGGTCTGACTCAACCCCAGAGCCCCATCAGTGCTGGGGGAGAGCAATGCCCACCATGCTCAATGGGGGGGCAAACTGCCTTCATGGGGGGCATTATCTTCATGGGGGGCATCAACTTGGGGGCTGTGGGGAATTTTTTTATGGGGAAGCATTACCTTTACGGGGGGACCATCAGGGACCCCGTTGGGGGGGCTCAGCGGGGCCATCTCCATGGGAAGACCTGAATGGAAGGGGTGGGGTGAAATGCTGCAGCAGCGCCCCCCCCCACCACCCCTTGCCTCAGATCTCCCCCCGTGGAGGGCTCACAGCCTCACCCATTTGGGGAGGGGTCTCCCCCTCATCGCCGCTGTCCTCGTCTCCAGGGGGCGGAAGGACCCCCAGCACCGGGCGCTCCTTGGACTGATCCTGCACTGACATCTTCTCACGGCTGCTCATGCGGCACACTGAGCTCCTGGCAGTGGGGGGGAAAACGTCACAGGGGGGTCCTGAGGGACTGGGGGGGGATTATTTTGGAGCACTGGGGGGGTTGCTCACCGGCGGTGCTTACTGCTCCAGGTGGAAGCTGGTGCTCCATCGGGGTCCAGAGTTATTGGGGCTGGGGGCATCCCTGGGTCTTTTTGAGAACGGAGCTGGGGGGCAGGAGGGGGGGTCAGGGTGCTGTGCTCACCCCCCCCACTCTATTTGGAGATCATTTCCCTCTGGGGGTTTTCAGGGAGCCCTCACCTAGCACTTTCTATGCCTCATGAAGTTTTGGGGTGATTTAATTTTCCTAGGATTCTTCTGGGTGGGAGTATACTGTATGGTTTGGGGGGGGCAGGGGGGGCACTCACATGGTGCTGCCGCCGCTGCAGCTCCTCCAGGAGGGGAAGGGTCTCCTCGTCTGCTAGGTCACAAGGACGCTGCCCCTATGGAGTGGGGGGGGGTCAGAGCTGCCTCAGGACTCCCCCCAAACCCCTCTTTAAACTTCCCCAAGGAATCCGCAGAGCCCCCAGACTCACTGCAATCCCCTTTACGCCCCTCGGGGCGGGGGGAGGATCCCCTCAGAGCCACCAGAACTCTTCAGGACCCCCCAGACTTCTCCTTGGAACCCACAGGGCATCCCAGAACCACCCCTCTAGACCCCTCCCCAAACCAACCCCCTTTAGGAATCCCCTTTGGGTACCTCTCTGGCATCCCCAGATCCCCTCAGGATGCCCCCCAACCGGCAGCCCCTCGCCCCCCCTGCCCCCACCACGTTGTTGCGGGGTGCCATGTCGCAGAGATGCTCGGCCAGCAGCCTGCAGGCCTCCTCCACTCCCCAGTGTGCAGCTGCGTGCAGCGGGGTCCACCCGTCCTTGTCCCTCACATCCGGGTCATAGCCTGCCTGCAACAGCAGCCTGTGGGGTTGGGGGTGGGGTTTGAGGGGAGAAACAGTGTGACCTCCCCCCCCCCACAGCCTCCCAAATCCCGTAAGAACCCTCAGACACTGCTGAGGTTCTCCAAGGCAATCCCTGCAGAGATCCCTACAATCCCAAAAGAAAATCTCCCAAAGACCCCTTGGGGACACCCAGAGTCCCATGAGATCCCCAGTGCTTCCTACGATCTCATAGAGAAGCCCAGAGAGCAAAGAACCCCCAACCCCAAATATTTTCTGGGACCCCCCCAGGAGCACCCCCACAACCCCCTGGGATCGCCACACTGCTCCTTAGGCACACCCAGACCCCCTCAGACCCCTTTAACCCCTGCGAGCCCCCAGGGTGCTCCCAGAACCCCATAAGCCACCTCCGGAGACCCCTGAGACCACCCAGACCCCTTCAGGGCACCCCATCCCCACCTCATGACCTCGATGTAGCCCTTGGCAGCTGCCACATGCAGGGCACTGGCCCCTGTGGCCGGGTGCCTGGCATCCCGGATCTCCCCAGCATCCAACCAGCGCCGGGTGTCCCGCAGCATCCGCTCCTCCTCCGCCCGTTTGGCTGCCGCCACGTCCACCCCTGGGTGGGTGAATGAGTGGTGGGGGTGTGGGCAGGGCGTGGTCACCCCATGGCCACCCACGACCCCCCCTCCCCCTGGTCATACCCACCTCTGCGTTCCACCTCCTCCCTCAGCAGCTCCTCCAGCCCTTCATCCTCGGCCACTTCCAAGGGCAGCTCTCCATCACTTGTCACCGCTGCCACGTCGGCCCCATGGGCCAGGAGATACCTGGGGGTCAGGGGTGAAGCATGAGACCCTTAGGGGCCCCCAGACCCCCTATATTGTGAGCCCCCCTTGTAGCAGAAATGCTGAGTCACAGCCTGAAGCAGTGATGGAGCTCCTGGTGGAAGGCAGGGCCAGGCCAGGGGAGCTGAGGTGCGTGCAGAGCAGTGCCCCAAAGCGACAGGAAGGGATGGAGCCAGGATCCACCCCTTCCCACCCTCACTGAAAGGTTGGCAGTGGAAGTTGGGGTATTGCACTGGAGATCCCTGCCCTTCCGAAGGCAAGCAGCTTTTTTTCCTTTGTTTCTGCATCCGCAGCTGCTGCACTTGAGCTTATCCTCACTGCTGCAGCCTGGGACTCTGCTGCCTCACTGTCAATGCTGCTTTACACCCCCAACCTAAAGATCAACCCCCAGCATCCGGTCATGTCAAAACCCAAAAATCTCTCCCCCGGAACCCCAGCACCCAGTGACCCCAAAACCCAAGGACTCCTATAGGCTCCCCTATAGGACGGCAGCCCCCCCAGGCCCCCATCTCACTCAGCGATGTCCCGGTAGCCGCAGGATGCAGCCACGTGCAGTGGGGTCCAGCCCTCATTGTCTGCCTGGTTGACATCAGCTCCGCTCTCTACCAGGAACTGCACCACCTCCATGTTCTCATCGATGCACGCCTGCAATGGGTGGGGGGGTGGGGAGGGAGCCCCCAAGGACCCCACAAAGGCTCCCATAAAGACCCAGGTGCCAAACGTCCTCAGGGATCCCTCCCCAAGGACCCTGAAACCCAAAGAGCCCTGAAGGACCC